GGAATCCTACAGTGTCGTCTTTTCAGTCTAACTTCTTTCAATTAGTAATTTGATTTTCAATTTCCCTTATCTGCCTTTTTTTTTGGCTTTGTAGCTCATTTCTTTCCTTTTTTTTTTGCACTAAATAATATTCCATTGTTAGGATGTACCACAGTTTACAGAGTTTTCAACGAGGTGATTCACAGAAAGCATTGAGAACTGTTCCTGTGCATAGGGCCACTCACTGTCCTCCAGGGCAACTGACAAGCGCCCTGTGGGCCAGGATCGTTCTGAGGCAAGTGCCAGCCTCTTCCAAAGGTGGGACCTCCGCTGAAGGCAGGGACCTGAGGTTTCTAGCCGTCTCAGAGTCCCTGTTCAGCAGGGATGGGAGCTTTCGCTTCAGGGCTCCTGCAAAGGTGTGAGGCTGCTGGGATCACAGGATTCCTGGACTTGGTCCCCCAAGAGAGGAAGGACTTGAAGGGCTTGCTCACTGACCACATTCCTTGCACGCAGCTCATTTTACCAACTAGAAAGTATTTCCACATCTCCTATGCTAATTAGCCAATCGCTCTGGAGCTGATTTAGCAAAAGCCTCATTTGCTCCCTGTGGAGCTTGGTTCCCCACGTTACTTCAAACACCCACCCCCAGGGTGTAGGTTAAAGGTAACCAGGGTGCCCACGCTCATCTGGCAGTTTATACTGACTGGGCAGCTCTACAGATGGTCACAGATGTCAGACAGGGCTTATTATGGGATGGTCTCCCTGTGGTCTGCTGCCTCCCTCTGCCACGCCCCTCTCTCCTGGGCCTGGGAACGGGCCTCGTCTCATTCCCCTGGGCTGGCCACAAGCCCCACAGGAAGCTGACTGTGGAGGTGGGAAGGAGGGGCTAGGACGGCAGTAGGGAAGGACAGGGCATGACAGAAAGGACACTGGCCTCAACTGGGAGTCCCAGGCTGCTCTGATTTGCTGTGTGACCTTGGGAGTCCCTTCCGCTCTTGAGAATCGGCTGAGCTCTTCTCTGAACAAGGAGGCTGCACCTGCTCGGACGCCCCCCGGGAGATGCAGCGGCTCACCGCCAGCAGGAGCATCGCCCTGGCAGGTGCAGGCCTCCGCAGGCCCCCTTCATTCCAGGGAAGCCCGTTCCGAGAAGGCAGTTCCCTCCTCTGTCCCTTTGGCTGCTCCCCAGTTCCTGCCTCTATGAGGACAAAGTGCTAGAGCCCCAACAACCAGCTCCAGGGCCTCTATTAACTCCCGCTACCCGCCCCTCCCCACCCCCGCAAAGAATCCATTCCCACCAAGACAGAGAGAAGAGAGCCCCTTCCTTCAGGGCACGGGGTCTCACTGCGGCATCATAGTTGGGGACTTTTGAACCGGTCTGACCTACACTGAGTCCCAGTGTCACCTCTTCCTGGTGGGTGACCATGGATGTAGAGCAACCCTGAGCCCCAGGTTTTTGTCCATTTAATGGAGATATCGGCACACCGATCCTAGATTTCTCATGGGGCTGGTGGGCATTCAGTTGAGATTGTGGGGGGACATGAGTTCACAACACTGTGGGCAGTGAATGCCAGGGACCACCTGAGCCCAGCAGATATTCAGGAGACGGGATGGAGGGGAAGGTTGCTTGGGGTGGGCTGGGGCATCTTGAGCTGCCCACTGCAGGAACCACGGGCTGAACAAGCAGAAGAACGGAGATGGATGGGCAGCCAGGTGGGAGGAGCAGGGTGAGCCAGGATGCCAAGGGGAAATGAGAATAGTGAATTTGGAGGGCTATGCAGGGTACCTAGCCTCCCAGCGATGGTCCAGTCTGTCCGCTGCCGAAGAAGCACCTCCATTGTTCCAGGGCTTCTCTCCTCCCTCCCTCCCTCCCTTTTCCCTTCTTTTCTTTCTACTTCCTTCACCAGATATGTATTAGTACCACCATGTCCCAGCACAGTGAACACCCACCAGCCCCTGCCTGCCCAGAGTCACAGGGAAGTGGGAGAGGAAGCTACGGCATAATTCACTATGCACATACTCAGTTAGTGGGGGAGTGTCTTGGATGGAAAGTTCCAGAAGGGTAGCTGTTCTCTGTGATGGGTAGGGGCACAGCAGGGGAGTTAGGTGGTTTAGAAGACATGGCCATAATAATTCCTCTCATCCAGACATGGAGTAGTTCCTCACCTCTTCCATCTGAAGATGGCCCCATGACTTGCTTTGGCCAATGTGACACAATTAGCGAATGTGACAGAGCAGAGGCTCAAAAAGCACTTGTGCATGGAGGCTGGCCCCCTTTGGTAGCCCTTGGCATCTTGAGACCATGAGGCAGCAAGCCGAAGCTAGCCTGCTGGGGAGGCCACATGAAGGAGGGCTAAATGCCCCACCAACAGTGTGCCAACTGCCACACACTCAAGGCCATCCTAGAACAGCTGGCCCAGCCAAGGTGCCAGCTAACTGCAGACACATGAGTGAGCTCAGGTGAGTCCACCACAAGACCCCCCCAAATCGGCAACCACAGAGTCCTGAGCTAATTAACGGTGTTGTCAGTCACTACATTTTCAGGTGGTTACATAGTCAAGTGACTGATACAACAGGAAAAGGGCTCCCTAATGAAGGAAGGTCTGAGCTAGATCTGAGTAACCCAGAGGAATTAACCAGGGAAAGACGGAGAGAGGTTGGAGAATTCCAGGTGGGGCAGGGGTTACGTGCAGAACCCATTTCTCAGGAGGCAGAGCGGTGCTTTCATTTTTTTTTAACACTTCATCGGACAAATTGGTGAACTATCATGGAGTGAATGAACACACTTGTGTAACCAGACACATGTAGGAAACAAATGCGACCAGCTCCAGAGGTCCCTCTGATGCCCCTTCCTATCCGCCGTCCCCCTCAAGGCTGACCACCACCTGACTTCCATCACCATACGGAAGTGCACTTTTGAACTTCTTAGTTTTGAACTTCATAGATTGTTTTTGATCTTTGTAACAGAGCAACCTGCTCCACATGCACTCTTTTGTGTCTGGCTTCTGTCTACATCATGGTTTTGAGACTCATCTGTGTTGTTCTTTTTTTCTCATTGGTGAATCCCACTATGTATCCACTTTGTGCCTGATGGACATTTGGGTTATTCTGGCAACTAAGAATAAGGCTGCTCTGAATACTTTTGAACACATATTTTGAGAACTATGTGTACATTTCTGTTCAGTGTAGACTAGCAATGGAAACCCTGGGTCGTGGGGTTTGCACATAAGGCAGTTCTTCCGAGGAACTGAAAGGAACTGGTGGCTTGAATTGGGGGCAGGGGGAGCTTTAGGGAAGGAGTAGAACCTCATGGAGTGCTGTGGACACGGGAAGGAGGCTGGCTGTCATGATGAATGCAATGGATAGCCAGGGAGTGACACGCTCTAATGACATGCTAAGATCACTGCAGGGGCTGTGTGTGGAATAGGTGGGACGGGAGGTTGAAGACCATCAAGGGGGGCAAGAATACAGGCGGACATGGGGGAGGAAACCTATGGGACAGATGGCAGCAGCCTGGACCAGGATGCCAGCGGAAATGGAAACAAGGGGATGATGTCTGGTCACCCAGTGCTGCATAACACAGCTTAGTGGCTTAAAACAGCAATGCATTTTCTCCCACAATTTTTGGGGTAAATTGGGCTCCACTGGGAGGTTCCCTCTGGGGACTCTTGTGTGGTTACAGTCAGATGGCAGCTGGGGCTGGAGTCATCCAGCAGCTCAAAGAGACCGAAGATGAGCTCTTATTCAGGATGGCTTTTCTGTTAATGCACCTGGTGCCTGGGCTGGGTTGGCTGGAGCAGCTGGGGACTGGTGGGACCTTTTTTCCTTCTCTCTTCCTCTCTCCATGTGGCTAGCTTACGTTCCTTACAACAGTTTCACACTAAATGACAGCGGGCTTTCCCCCAGAGCAAATATGCTAGGAAGCCAGGACAGGAGCCTCAGTGCTTCTTATGACCCAGGCTCAAAGGTCCCACCCAGAACATCTTTACTACCATATTCTCTCACCAAGCAGTCAGTACATCTAGCTTAAGTTCAAAGGAAGGGAAATTAGATTCTACCTCCCTAGGAGCAGCAGCTCATGTATGCCAGGAGGGAAGGGTTGATGGGCACTAGCTACCAAGGATGGTTTTTGGGAATCAGATTAAATTTATGGGACTTGCTGCTGTCTTGGACAAATCCTTTGCCCTTTCTCCTTTGGAATCTGCATGTTAAAATCCTTTTGAAAAGCATGAAACATGCATATTTTTCCAGCAGAGCCACACTAAGGGTTCTTCACAAAGATATGCTGCCATTTGAGATGCTCAGGGGTCAGAAGGGGAAATGCCTCCCAGCATTTCACACACACAAAAGAAACCTCCTTGCAGAGGACTACGGAGAGAGTATTTTTGTTCCTGACCTAGTAGGGAAAACTTGCCTCTAGAGGTCCTGTTTCCTAGCTAAGGCCAACAATTGGCTGGACTTATTTTCCAGCGTATCCCTAATGGGAATGATTCCACCTAGCATCCTGGACCAGTTGCTAAAGGTCAAAGGCTGCTGACATAGAACAGAAATCAGACTTGGTTTCTGTACAATATCTAGGGTTGCAGCCCTTCTCTGTTAACATATGACTTGGGTGATCTTGGGAACTTCTTTTCATCCCTAGTTTCCTTATCAATAAAGTCAGGATGATGCTAGCAAAGGGCTGTTGGCAGGATTAAATGAGATGAAACAAAGTACTTGACATAATTGTTGGCAACCAGTGAGTTCTTGGTAAATGTCAGCTGCCCAGCAGACAAGAGATGCCCAGTACATTTGTAGAAATTCTCTTGTCTATGCTAGGAATGTCTCTCAACTGGTGGGGTGAGCCCAGGAATTGTATGTGCATCAAGCTTTGATTTTTAAATCACCATTCTTGGAATAACCATCCCTAAAGTTTGCTTTTGATTTCAAAAATGTTTTTTAAAGAATCATGTTTATTTCTGTGATGTTGCAGCGCCTCATCTGGGGTGTTTTCCCTCCCTCCACAATGCCCTGTCTCTCCCCACATTTTCACATTACCAGCATCTCATCATACTTTGCAGGGGAAAACATTTTTATCATTTGCTTTACTGGAAAATATACACTCCTTAAATAGTGTTCTAATGCCTGCAAGAAAAAAAAAATTAGCAGAGTTGTCTCCAGGGAAGCAGCCTTTGACTATTTGAACCTGAAGAAATGAAGGGTTTTATTTGTGGAAATTGGGACATCCGGTGCAGTCTACGGAGAGAAGCAGAATTAAAAAAAAAAAAATCAACCATCAACACCTCCACACACCAAAAAAATTAATAAAATCTCAGAGAATATTTTAATATTTTACACTTTAGTTAATTTCCAAGTTCAGGGCAGCTTTTCTTCTGAATGTGGTTCATTTTATTGCATAAAGGTGGTCTGAATTTTGCTGAAGACTTACTGAACCACCTCTTCTCTATTTGCGAATCTTTGATCTCACAGCAACCCTGCCAGGTAGGGATTCTGGGTCCTATTTTACAGATGAAAGCACAAAGGCTCAGAAAGATAAGAACTTGCCTGAGGTCACACAGCTGAATCTCCACCGTCTGCCACATCCACTCACCACACTTATTCCACTCTTTTTGCTGAGCTGGATTCCTTCTATTTCTCAGCATTTCTCTCTGGCATCAGCCTTTGCATCATGTCCTGCAGGATTCCTGGAAGCAGATAGCAATTAATGGGGAGTATTAAGCCATAAAAACTCAGAGAACGGGCAGACATGTGATATTCCTAAGGCATGGAGGAGACCTTGACTCTCTTGAGGAGCCCCAGTCTCAAAGAGTTGCTGGTTGGTGAAATTTAAATACAATTAATTTATTCACATGTGCAGCTAACATTTATTGAGCATGCCCTAGGTACCCAGCATGGTAGTGGGCTCTGGCAATACAAAGATGAATTAGAGAGCCCTGGTTACAATGCATTCTTTTTTTTTTAAATGTCTATAACTATTTTGTTCCATTTTATTTTATTTTGATATCATTAATGTACAATTACTTGAACAACATTATGGTTTCTAGACTCCCCCTATTATCAAGTCCCCCCCGACATACCCCATTACAGTCACTGTCCATCAGCGTAGTAAGATGCTATAGAATCATTACTTGTCTTCTCTGTGCTATACTGCCTTCCCTGTGTCCCCCCCCACCCCTACATTATGTGTGCTAATCATAATGCCCTGTTTTCCCCCTTATCCCTCCTTTCCCACCCATCCTCCCCAGTCCCTTTCCCTTTGGTAACTGTTAGTCCATTCTTGGGTTCTGTGATTTTGCTGCTGTTTTGTTCCTTCCGTTTTTTTCTTTGTTATCATACTCCACATATGAGTGAAATCATTTGGTTACTTGTCTTTCCCCACCTGGCTTATTTCACTGAGCATAATACCCTCTAGCTCCATCCATGTTGTTGCAAATGGTAGGATTTGTTTTCTTCCTATGGCTGAATAATATTCCATTGTGAATATGTACCACATTTTCTTTATCCATTCATCTACTGATGGACATGTAGGTTGTTTCCATTTCTTAGCTATTGTAAATAGTACTGCGATAAACATAGGGGTACATATATCTTTTTCAAACTGGGCTGCTGCATTCTTAGGGTAAATTCCTAAGAGTGGAATTCCTGGGTCAAATGGTGTTTCTATTTTTAGTTTTTTGAAGAACCTCCAAACTGCTTTCTACAATGGTTGAACTAGTTTACATTCCCACCAGCAGTGTAGGAGGGTTCCCCTTTCTCCACATCCTCGCCAACATTTGTTGTTGTTTGTCTTTTGGATGTTGGCCATCCTAACTGGGGTGAGGTGATATCTCATTGTGGTTTTAATTTGCATTTCTCTGATGACTAGTGATGTGGGGCATCTTTTCATGTGTCTGTTGGCCATCTGAATTTCTTCTTTTGAGAAGTGTCTGTTCAGATCCTCTGCCCATTTTTTAATTGGATTATTTGCTTTTTGTTTGTTGAGGTATGTGAGCTCTTTATATATTTTGGATGTCAACCCTTTATCGGATCTGTCATTTATGAATATATTCTCCCATACTGTAGGATGCCTTTTTGTTCTACTGATGGTATCCTTTGCTGTACAGAAGCTTTTTAGTTTGATATGGTCCCACGTGTTCATTTTTGCTTTTGTTTCCCTTGCCCAGGGA